AAAAAAAAAAAAAAAAAAAAAAAAAAATATTGAATAAAATATAAAAAAATCAAGATTAAAAATAAAATAAATTTTTTTCAAATATTCTTTACAAATAAATATGATTTTTTATGATTTATTTTTTGAAAGGAAATTTTGAGTAAGTTATAATGTTTAGAAGATAATGTGTTGATATCAATTTTACTTATGAGAAAATCAAAAATTAAAATTTTATTTTTTATTTTCATATTTTGTAATTGGTAACATAAAGAAATAAGTATTGATATATTTTTATAATTTAATATTTTTATTTCTTTTAATATTTTATAAAATTCGGAAATATATTTATCTAAGTAAGTTGCATTATAATTAGTTTTACAATGACTTAAAATTAAATTATTCCAATCAAAAATGTGCAATAAATGGTTGTTTTTTTCTTTTATAAAAATGTAAAGGGAATCATATAATACATTTTTTTTTATTTTATATTTAGAAAGTATATATAAGATATTTAAAATGTTTTTTACAAATTCTTTACTATTATAATTTTTATATTTTAAAAAAGTTTTATGTATCTCTTTTTCTTTAATAATTAGTGTAGAATTATCGATGAAAATTTCTAATTTTCCTCCTTTTTTTGTAAAAAGTATTTTTTTTTTAGAATTTAGTGAATTAATAGATTTTGTGAATTCTTCTAAAAAATCAAAATATTTATTGAATTCTTTATCTTCACATTCATAATTTTCTTTTTTTCTTATATGATCTATAAAATAAATTGTATAAATATCAATAAGTAAATGATTTAATATATTTATAATGCTTTCTTTAAAAAAGAATTTTAATTTAAAATAACTTTTAAATATTAAATGAATTTCATTAAAATGGAAATTATAAATTTTATTTTCTATATGTATCATTATATTTTTTAAAATATCTTTATTTTTATAATTTATTTTAGAAAAGAAATATACAGCAGCAGTAATATCTTTATTATTTAATTTATGTATATTTTCATTTGTAAAGTTTTCAATTATTTTAATAAAATTTTCATCACAAAAATCTAATTTTACATATGAATTACAAATATTATATAAATGTCTTTTGTTAATATTTAAATGGTTTTTATATTTATTAAAATTATTAGGAGTACTCAATATATATATATCATTATTAATTAAATAATTGTCGTTATTTTTTTCATAATTGTTGTCATCATTATTTATAATAAAGCAACTTGTATTACTATTATTTAGGTAGCTATTATAATTTTCGTCTTTACTTAATTCAATTGATGATTTATTTATTCTCTTAATTATTTCATCATTTATTAATTTAATTAATCTATTTTTTTTTTCCTTTTCTTTTTCTTCTTCTTCTTCCTTTTTTTGTTGTTGTAAATTGTTCTTAGAATAAACGAAGAGAAGAAAAGATATATTATTAGCACATAAAAAAGAAATATAAAATTTTAAAATGAATTCAAAAAATTTATTGTAAATATATATCTCTTGGAAAAATTCAATATTATTATATTTTTTTTGTAAAAAAATACATAATTTATATATACATATGTGATTATATATATTTTTATTAAAATAATTCAATATGTGAAAGTCTTTTATTAAAGAGAAACATATGAATTTAAGAAATTTTATTTTTATTATATTATTTTGAAAAAGGAGAAAATTAACTATTCTTTTATTTTTAAAAAAATACATGTTTTTATTAGAAAAAACTTCCCATATCATTATATTAACACTACTATTTAATAAATTTGTAGAATATAATACTTTTTTGTATAAATATTTGTTATTCAATCTATTAAAGATATCATTATTATTGTTGTATTTTTTATCTTGTCTTTTAAGAAAAGTATTTTTTTCTTCATTAATTTGAAATGTTTTTAAATTATCATCATTCTTTTCTTTTCTTATTTTATATTTGATCGACTCATATATATTTTTTTGATTTTTTGAAAATGGGTTATAAAATAAAGAATTAAATATATGCATCTTTTGCATTTCTATTATAGAAATTATATTATTCAAACTTATATCTTCATTTTTATTTTTTATGATAAAATAGTTATAGTTATTGTATTTATTTAAAAAAAAAATTATACTTAAAAAGTTATAAGAATCCATTAATATAAAATTATAAAATAATTTCAATTCTTTTATATTTATTTTGTTTTCCTTATAATTTACATTGATAACTTTTTTCTCATTTTTGTTTCTGTTAAAAGTAATAATATTAGTTCTCTTAAAATTTTTTATAAATAAGTTATTATTCATATTAATACTTTTGATTAACTCATTTATTACAAAAAAATTAGTATGAAATAGATAATTAAACAGATGAAGATAAAATAAATTTAATAGATCAAAATTAATTTCATATTTTTCTAATTTTGTATTGTGTTTGTTTATAAGTGTAAGTAGTTCTAATATCTTTTGACTATCTATAGGTGTAGATAACGATGCATTTTCTTTTTTGTATAAACTTTTTTGATTTAAATAATGTTCATTTATTGTTATAATTTCTACTAAAGCTTTTTCAAAAATATGTTTACAATTTTTTTTTTGTTCATCATAATTTAATAAACATAAAGAATTAAATAAATACATATAATTTTTTATATTAATTTTCCCTTTTTTTTCTAATAAAATATATTTCAAGTAAACATCAAAAAATAGATTAGAATATTTTCTACTAGAATTTAAAAAATTTTTTAAATTAGAAAAGTAAAGTTTCTTCTTACTTTTATTATTTTTAACATCAGCTATTTCCAATTCAAATGATTTATTTTCTTCTTCACCATTTTTAGATGAATATTTGTGAGAATTTGTAAAATAAGCAACTTCATTTTCTAAATAATTTAAAAAATATGAAATAGTTGATAATGGATATAATACATCATCATCATTTAAATATACACTATTCTTGTTCTTAATAATAAAATTATAAAACTTTTTTAGTTTTTTTTCATTTCTCTCTTTAAAAATATTACTTAAAACATTTATTAAAAAATTTTTCATTATATTTTTATAACAGTGAAAAAAAAATATATATATATATATAAATATATAAAATATATATATATATATATTTACAATATACATAAAACCAAAAAAGAAAAAAATTATTCCATAAAACAAAAATTTTTTTAAGAGTATATGTATGAGAAAAATATATAAATAATATAATGAGATAATATATGGCAAATAATATTACAATAATATTATTAAGCCAACCTTTTCATTAAAATTTTATTCATAATATTTTTATAAAATTATTATATACTTTAATGAGATAATATTATAAATACATATATATATATATATATATATATGTATATATATTTTTCTAATAATATTTTTCATTTTCAGTTCTTTTTACATTTTTTTTTTTAATAATTTTCAATTTTTTCTTTTACATAGATAAAAATAAATAATAAAAACAACATTAGATAAATATATGTATATAAAAAAAAAAAAATAAAAAAAAAAAAAAAAGGTTAAAAAATTTTAATTTTTTTTTTTTATAAAATTCTTATAAATTCATAAATTTTTTTATCTATATTAATATGTTATATATACTACTTTTTTTCTTTTGTTTTTATGTAAAAATAATAATAAAAAAAAAAAAAAAAAACACTTCATACAGGAAAAGGTATAATTTAGATAAAATGTAAAAACAATTTATAAAAGAAAAAATTTAGTTTAATGAAAAATGTTTTCCTTAATATATTTTTTTAATTATTAAACAATTGAAGGATACTATTATATGAATTACTATGACAAATTTGCATAAAAACTGGATTAAATAAATTCTGTTTTAACTCTTCATTGATATTTATATCCCTTAAAACCTAAAAATATTATGAAAATATATATGTTTTTTATTTTTGTATTAAAAAAATAAAAGAGATGCAATTTAATAAAATTTCATATATATATATATATATGTATGTATATTTTATTTTTTTTTTTCATACTGTTTCATTAATGTTTTCATTATTAATCATTTGTAATTTAACATATGTAACTTCAAAATTTTTATCCATTTCATCTTTTTCAACATCTATATATTGACTTTTACTTTTTTTTAAAACTAATTCATTATTAGTAATATTTTTATTTAAGTGATTAAGAGTTTCTACAACGAATGATTCATTTCTAATTTTTTCGTTACTTATTAATTTTGTTAATGCTAAAAATATTATAATTTTTTCATTCACATTTATTAATTTATCTAATATAGGCATATATAAACTTTTTAATACATTAAAGATTAAACCTAAAAAAAAAAAGAAATTTATTAGCAAATTTATAAATATATAATTATATATATATTATTATGATATGTAAATATATAATTATATAAATATATATATATTATTATGATATGTAAATATATAATTATATATAATTATATATATATTGGAATGTATATTTTTAAAAATATAGAATATATTAATATACCATTTTGTATTTGTTCCACAGTGTTAATAAAAATGTTAACATCAGTTTTTAAAATAAAAACAGATAAGGAATGAATTACTTTAATTTTAATAATATCATTTTTATACTGTTGCACAAAAGTGAATAACAAAACAAATAATGGTTTTAAAAATGATTGATAAGCTTCTACAGGTAAAAATGTAAAAATAATTAAAATAATTTGAAAAGAATCTGTAGATAATTTTTTGTTAGATAAACAGTAATGATAAATATTAAACAACTGTTGCATATTATTTTTAATTATATCTTGAAGTAAATTATATTTTTTAAAAAAACTTTTTAAAACACAAATTATTCCATTAGCATTTCCAATTGTACTTTTCCATAAATCCATTTCATATAAGTTATTCAAAATTTTTAGATGAATTTTTTGAATTGTATTAGTATTATCTATTATTATAGATAAAATTTGAAATATATATGGAATAAAATCATGAATATATAATTGTAAGATTTGTGCAAAGGTTGTTATAATAACATTTTCTACTTGATTTATATTATCTGGAATTCCAGATTTATATATTAAAGATATAATTATAGTTAACAATTCAAATAAATAATGATTAAATAATGGATTATGAGTATCATTTATTATTATTTTAATTATATTATCAATAATTAATAAAATTGATACATAAAAACTTGATAATTTTTCTGGATATATTAAAAATATTCTTAATATAGTAATTAAAATGTATTCATTTAATGTTTTATTATAAATCTGAAATTTTAATAAAAATAATAATCTACTTAAGATATTTGGTATGGTATTATTAAAAATTATATTCAAAACTTCTTCACTCAGATTCTGATTTAGTAATCTGTTTATACATAAGCAAGAATAACTATATATCATTATTTTCTCATTATATAATAAAAAATGCAAAAAAGTAAATATATCTAATGCGGTATTTATATTACATATATTTCTATTATTTAAAAGAAATTTTAAAATAGAGAGTAAATATATAGTGTTTTTTGAATTAAATATTTCTTCATTTTTTAACCATACAAATTTGTTTGTTTGATTCAAATGTTGATTTAAAAAATTATAATCATTTATGTTATAACAAAAATTGTCTAAATTAGAAAATTTCATTCTAATAGACATAATGAATTCTTTTAATACACTTTTTAAATTATGTTCATAAAAATTTTGTGCTAAATTTATCTGATTTAAACAAGTAATTAACTGAACTTTATATTCCATATTACAAGCATCATAAAAAGTATCATTTTTATCTATTATCAAATCAGTGTCCGTATTTCTATTCATACCATCATTATTTAAATTAGATATATTAACAGATGAAATTATAAGAGAATCTTTTGATAATATACGGAACTCTAATATAGGAAAACATATATCAAAATAATTATTACAAAGAGTTTTTAAAAAATAAATACCCGTTGATCTAATTGAAAATGAATTTACATTGTTTAGATCATTTTTAAAATAATCTAGATCTGCTTCATTTATTTCATCTATATCTATTCGTTTTAATCTAATATGGTGTAATACACGTTCTATTATTTTTTCTAAAAAATCTTTATCTTTATATGGATTTAAATCATTTTTTTCTAAATTCATATGATGAATTAATTTAATAGTTGACGATAAGCAGTTATAATTATGGCATAATAAAAGTTTATCTTCTTCTTTATATAACATTTGAGTTAAAGAAAAAATTAATTTTATTATGAATGCTTTAGATTCTTCTTGATAATTTTCTGAGATTATTTTTATAATATCTGTGATCATAATTTTACATTTTAACAAATTTTCTTCAAAATTTTTCTTTAATTTTATTAAATCTTCATTGGTTATTTTAAATATATTTTTCTCATTTGTATTCATAAATATATTTTGCTTATTTGAAAAACCTGTCGAGGAGGATATATCATTTTTCATATTTTTCAACAGATTTATGTGATTAAAATAATTTTTTAGTATGTTGATATCATATAATAAAAAATTATAAAAAATATTAAAGAAAATATCAAAATTATCTTCATAATATTCAGGTAAATCAATTATATTAATATTATAAAATATTTTTAAAAAAACATGAATGTTCATCAATATACTATTCATCATATAAAAACAAATATTTATCTCTTCATTAATATCCGTATTATTAGTGGTAGTAGAAAATGAATTAGTTAAACTTAATTTATTATTTATGAAGTTTGTATATTCTGTAAATTTATTATATAAATAAATGAAATACAAAGTTATCGGGTACTCAATATGTGTTAAAATAATTTTCAAATCATATTTTGATACATAATCATTATCTTTATATTTTTTTAAAATTTTTCTAATAATTTTGAGAGCAGAATATTTGTCTTTAAAAAAAGAAATATTTATATTTTTAAAAATTATATTTGCTTTTGAAACAGATAATAGTTTTATATTATTATTATAATCTTTTATAATACTACCCTTACCAACAAAATCAAATCCATTTAATGAATTTAAGGAATTTTTTTTATTTATATCAATAGAGTAATTAGAAGTTAATGAATTATTTAGTTCTGCAGTTTCTTCTAAATTATAAAGATAGTAATCATTTAACATGAATAGATTATACTGATCATTAGACTTATAAATTTTTTTTGTATTATTTATATAATTTATTATATCATCATTTAAAGAATTATTTCTATTATTAATTATTCCTTTTATATTTTCAATATTTTCAATCAATTTATTGTATTCAATAAAAAAATTTTCTTGATTTATATTTTGTAATATTTCTTTATTTCTTACGTATAACATTATACATTCTATAATTTTCAAAGCATCAGGATTACTTTTCTTCTCTTCATTATTAAAAATATTAATTAAACGAACAATATTATAATCATTAATATATAAAATAATAATATAAAATAATAAGTAATCGTAATCATCACAAATATTATATTTAAATAAATTAAATAATATTTCAAAAAAATATTTTTCAAGACTTTTGATTTCTTCATTCTTTATATCTAATAAAACATGCATACATATATGCTTAATTATTATACATAAATCATTACTTAATTCTACATTTTCTAGATTGCTATGAATACTTTTCTTTATATAGTTTTTTATACTTATTAATATACTTATTTTAACATTTTTATTTAAAAATTTATCATAAAAATTTTTCTTTTCATTTTTTTCATTATAAGGATACATTATAAATTTCAGAAGAATTTTAATGTAATTTTCTTTATTACTATCATTATATAATGAATTAATTTTTTCTTCACTCGCCTTTACCTCTTCAAAATTACTTGATACACTTTGTGTAAATATTGTTAAAAGATGTTCCTCAATTTTGTTATCCATATTTTTAAAATTTAAATTTTTTTATTCAAAAAATAAAAAAAAATAAAAGAAAAAAAAAAATACAAGAAATTTAAATAATTTAAATTTATATACATATAATGTATACATAAATATATACTGTTTTTTTTCTCCTTTTTTTTAAAAAATATTTTTTATATAGAAAGTAAAAATAATAAATATATATAAAATATATTTATGTAATTTTATTGAAATAATTTTTTTTTTTTTTTTTTTATTGGAGAAATATATATATATTTTCTTTTTTCTTTTTCATATTTAATTATTTTTATATATGTAAAATATATTTATGTTTATTCTGTTTTATTTTATTATTTTTTTTCTAAACCTTTTTTTTAAATATGTTTTTTTTATAAAAGTTTTTACATTCTTTAATATATATACAATTCATTTATTCTTTTTTATTAAAATACTAAATAACCATAATAAAAAAAAAAAAAAAATTTATGTGAATAAAACAATTAAAAAAAAAAATTTGAAATATATAAAAATGAATTATTTTAATTAAAGTAAAAATATTTAAAAGAATAATGAAAAATTTTTTCATAAAAAATGTATTTTTTTTTTTTTTTTTTTTTTTATATATATAGCTTCTTTGATGATTTATCATTCCATACGAATATCAAAAAAATAAATATTTTTTTTTTTTTTTTCTCAATTTTTTTATACATCTTTTTATTATTATTATTTTTAATATGAAGATACATTTAGAAAACTTTTTTTTTTTTTTTTATATATATATTTTTGTGTTCTCTAAAAAAATAAAAACATACAATAATATTTTCATATAACTTGTAAGTTTAATAGAAATATTTTTTTAATTAATCTAAATTATAAAATTAATTATATATATTGTAATTAAAAGAAAAAAAAAAAAAAAAAAAAAAAAAAAAAAAAAAAAAGATAATAAAAAAAAAAA